CTAATTGGTTACATATTCTCACCTCTGGCATAGGTCCATAATCATCTTCTTGATCAGGGGTTTCCTTTTCCTTGTATGTTCTCAAACAAGTATATGAACTACCATTTGGCTCAGTTCAAAGTTATTTTGGGCAGTCCATGCTTTTCTTTCATGAGAACTCTGATTCTATTTTAAAATGGCTCCACTTCTTATGTCCATTTTTCACATGTGGATTATAGACCAATAGCCAGTAATGCTGGAGAGGAGCTAACGCTATGATAGGGGTGGGTTTGTTAGTTCCTCATTGCTGTTATAGCAACACAAATTTATTCTCCTCTAGTTTAGCAGGGCAGAAGTCTGAAATAAGCTTCATTGGGCTAAAGTCAAGGTGTCAGCAGAGCTGGTTCTTTCTGGAGGAAAGAAAAGCAGAAGCCAGTATTTGAAGGACTTGTGTTCACTGGTAATGAAAAGCCACCAAGGGGCTTTTAAAAGGGGAAGATAGACTTAGCTTGTGCTCTGAATGGTAACACTGGTTCAGTGTAGAAAATGTGTGGGGGAAGGTAGTAATCGATCATTTATTCAGTATTCATTAAATATCTTTTTGAAGTACTAGAAATGGTAGGCCTTTAAAGTACTTAGAATAAGTAAAAGATCTTGTCCTCACCAGTCCTTAAGGGATTTATTTTACTGAGAATAAAGCAATAGACAATAAATAATCAAACCAAATATTTACAGTTTGAAAAATAGAAAAGAAATACGCGGGTGATACAAGGGACAGTATCTGGCCCCAGATTCCTGTCAGGAAAGATACTATTTGTGAAAGAAAGAGAAAGGATGCCAGTGAACCGCAGAGGAGGCACAAGAGGATGGTGTGACATGAGATCAGAGATCAGCAGACTCAGATCTTGTAGATTTTTTCCCCTCAGCATAGTAAGTCACTGAAGTGTTTTCAGCCAGAGGGTGACTTGGATGGGTTTGCTCTTTAAGTACCAGGTGATTGTCTAAGCTGACAGTTGTCTGGTAAAGAAATATTGTTGATCTGAAGTATGATAATTCAGTGGAGATGGGAAAAGTTGTCAAACTGAAAATAAATCTGTGGGGATAAAAACAGCAGGAATTGTGTTTAATTAGATATGAACTGTGGGGAATTGGACAGTTGAGGAAAGGGGCAGTAAGAGAGAGAAGAGTTGAGCTTATTTGGATAAATGGTGGTATTGTTCACTGAGATATAAAACCTAAGAAGAAAAGCTAGTTCAGGGCGTGTGTTGTGGTGAGGAGTGAAAAGGTCACCTCTGGAATGTGGAGGTTCCTGTGGAACATTCAAGTGGGCAGGTCAAGTATGAAGTAAATCTGGAGTGGAGGAGAGAGGGTAGACTTTGGGAGTCATTGATGTCCACATTACAAGACCAATGGGGGTATATCAGAGAAAAGACATAGAATAAGAGAAGAGGCCCAAAACTAGTACTTAAAGACACTACCAGGAGAAAGAACAGAGGTAAATGTGGTCACAAGAAAGAGAACCATTCATAAAGGAAGGAGTAGTCAGTCACATCAAATAGGAAGACAGAAAACATTTTGTCTGGACTGAAAAATGGGGCGGGCATGTTAGTCATTTTTGGTAAGAGCAATTTCAGGGGAGTGGTTCAAACAGAAGCCAGATTAAGTGGACAAGGGAGTGAGTAGAGCGTGACTAGGATATACAAAAGTGAGAACTGCTTAAACAGCACTTTCAAAAAGTCTGATCACAATTACTTTATTGTGGGTGTGTCAATGGTACACTCTTAGGAGGAAATTTGTCAATATTCACCAATATTTTTAATGTTTGTAGTCTTTTTTTTAAGATTTTATTTATTAATGCATATATAAGAACTGGGGTGCAGGCCAGAGGTGCGGATGGTGAGAGGATCCACCAGAGACAGAGTGGGGAACACAACAGGCAGATTGACCAAAATACACTGTTGAGAGAAGTGGGCGAGTCAGGAGAGGTCTGTTGTGACATGTGGGTTGCTCCCTGGCCGGCTGGGGGATTGAACTCGTGCTGCAGTGGCTGCAGATTGCTACGTAGGTTGCATCTTAACCTGTTGCACCACCAGGGAGGCCCGTTTGTAGTCTTTGATTCAATTAGTTATGTTTCTACCAATGTGCAAAAGCATATATACCTTTTCACACTACTCAGAGCAAAAAGCTGGAAATGTTAAATTTCCTTAAATGTGAGATAGGATATTTATTGGATATCTGTATAATGGCATACCACATAGTGGTTTAAAATAATGATGGAAATTTATATAAACTGATACATTAAAAAGTACCAGAATGGCATGTGCAATTAGTTTATTGAAAAGCAAAATCTATATACTTTATACCAGACTGTGAATTGTGATTATTCTGGTAGTTAGGGATAATCTATCACTTTCACTTTGTATTTAAAATTTTTATTCATGTATTTTATCTAATTTTATTTTTATATATTTTTTACTTTATAACTTTAAAAAGCAAAGGAAGAAGTCTAGCTATAATGAAAAGAGGAAGGAAAGAGATAAATAGAAGGGGTTAAGACTTTTTAATATGAAAAAGTCTTGAGCAGGTCCAAGTATTACTGGAAGGATCCTGCAGAAGGGCACTGTTGGAGTAGAGTAAAAGGATAAAAGCACTCAACAAGTTGGAGGAGAAATGCAGAAACAAAAGATTATTTATTCTTAGAAGGAGGAAGTTATCTTTGCTAGCATAATATGAGTGTAAGAAGACCAAAAAAGAGGTTTTGATTCAGTTAACAAGAATTAAGTTCTTGTCTAATAACATGGAGGATTATTTAATGATATTCTCTATTAGTATTTTAATGTTTCAATTTTTTTTTGTTGTTGTTGCTTAAAGCCAGCATTCCTCAAAGTGTAACAAATATGAATTTGAGATCCCTGGGATGTCTTCAGGGGGCCATAAGTCAAAGTAATTTTCTCCTACTCACTATATTTCTTAGGTCCCAAACCTAGGAGTAATCCTTAATCCTTTCCTTCCCTTGTATCTAAATCATTACCACATTGTCTTTGTTCTAATTTCAACATCCATGTTTCATCTCTGTGCTAAAACTGCTCCACTCTAGTTCAGGTATGTAACTGGAATCTCATTCTTGCTTCTTCTCTCCCCCCAAATCTGCTTGTCACAAAGCCATCCATGGGCACAAATTTCTCCTTAAAACTTTTCAGGCATTTCCATGTTTAAAATAAAATTCCTAATTGTACTTTTGGCTCTGGACTGTACCTCTTCACCGTCTCTCATAACTCCCCACCACTGTCTTCCAGCTCTTTTTGCTTTAAAGTCCTTCCCTCACTGCCTCAGTGTGTTGACCCTCACTCCCATAATATTCCACTGGGGAGTGTCATGCTAGGAGAGGCATTCCTACCATGGAAAACAAACCAGTTCTTTCAATTTCACACGCAAATTCTCTCTCACAAGACCTTATTCATTTAATTTTTAACTTTCTGTAACCTGTAATTGCCTGCTTTATGTTTATTTAGCAGGTCATTTAGTCATGAAAAAGTACTTTCCTTGAGAATAGGGTCCTCCTCCAACTGATACTATCTTAAGAAAAAGTTATGAAAACACTATGAAACAATCAGTTTGGCTTCCTATACACTGTATTTTTCAGCCTATTTAATTTTTTTTTTTAAGATTTATGTATGTATACAAGATCTGGAGTACAGGCCAGAGATGCGGGGGATGAGAGGATTCACCAGAGACAGAGTAGGGAACAGAATAGGCAAACTGACTGAAATACACTGTTGAGGGGAGCAGCGGGTGAGTCAGGAGAGGTCTGCTGTGCCATGTGGGTTGCTCCCTGGCTGGCCGGGAATCAAAAATGTGCTGCAGAGGCTGCAGATTGCCTCATAGGCTGTGTCTTAACCCTTGTGCTACCAGGGAGGCTCCCAGCCTAGTTATTTTTGTTGTGCTTTCGTTTGTTTTCTTAGGTTATTTGTATTTCATAAATGAGTGAACCCACCTGGTAATTGCCTTTCACTTATTTCACCTAGCATAATCATCTCAAGATCCAACAATATTGTCTCAAAAGGTACTATTCCATCTTTTTAAATAACTGAGTAGTGTTCCATGAGTATATATGCCACAATTTCTTTATCCAGTCTTCTATTGGTGGGAACTTAGATTGATTCCATGTCTTGACTATTGTAAATAATGCTGTTGTGAACGCAGGCATAAATCTTTTTGTATTAGTGGTTTTTTTTTTTTTTAAGATTTATTTATTTATTTGTTTATACATACAAGCACTGGGTACAGTCAGAAGTGCGAGAGGGTGAGAGAATTCACCAGAGCCAGAGCGGGGAGCAGAGCAGGCAGAAGGACTGAAGTACACTGCTGAGGGGAGCAGCGGGTGGCAGTAGAGGTCTGTGCGCCATGCGGGACCCTCCTCAGGTGGCCTGGGAGCAGTGGGGATCGAACTGGCGCCACATAGGCTGCGGGCAGCTTCGCAACCCAGCGCTTAATCGCTGTGCCACTGGGGAGGCCCTGTATTACTGGTTTTGTATACAATATTTTTTCTCACTTCCCAAATTATTTATCCTAACCCTTAAAAAAAAGATAAAATGCCATATAACTTATATGCTTAGTTCCATTAACTTCTCATTTCTTAGAGGCACAGTAATTAGGCATAAGTTAATGCCAAGTTCCAAAGTGGTATTTTTAAAATACTTATTTAATAATTTTTTTTTTTAAAGATTTATTTATTCATACAAGCACTGGGTTCAGTCAGAGCGCAGGAGGGTGAGAGAGTTCACCAGAGCCAGAGCAGGGAGCAGAACAGGCACACATACGAAACACACTGCTGAGGGGAGCAGCGGGTGCGGCAGGAGAGGTCTGCATGCCATGTGGACCCCTTGTTGGCGGTCAGGGATCGAACCGGTGCTGCAGAGGCTGTGGGCAGCTTCGCAGCCCAGTGCTCAACCGCTGCGCCACCAGGGGCAGCCCTAAAATACTTACTAATTTTAATAATTTAATTACCTAAATGTCGTTGAAATAATTTTTTACTCTTATTCATCTTTTTAAAAATTTATAGGTCTAGATTTTCTTGAAAGTTTGTAATTTCAAATATATCCTTTATCTTAATTTTTGCTGACTTCATTAAAACACTTTTTAAGAAAAGGGCTATTATTCCTTGTAAGCTTTTATTTTGCGCTAAAACCTGTTAACCAAGAAAAAAAAAACAAACCATTATATCTTTATTATTTGAACTAAATTTGGTATATATAAGTAAAGGAAACAACACAGTAGTCCTGATAATATTGTTCAGCAATTAGAAAGAATGAGTAGAGCTATGATCTAGAAGCCTATACGTGATATACTGTGAGTATAAGAAAACAAGCTGCAGTGTTTAATGATATTAAGACCCTTTCCCAAAAGATAGACACTTTAAATGTGAGAATGAAGGCTGCTAGTTGCTGTGACAATGGGGAAGGCTGGGGTTAGACAGGAGGACAAAGTCCCATGTTGAAAAATTAACTTTTTTCTTTATATACTTTTTATCTATTTTACCTTTGAAATTATTTATTTATTTATTGAAGTAACATTGCTTTATAACATTATGTAATGTTCAGGTGTGAAATGATTTTTCAAAAGTAGAATTCAATAAATAAAACTTAATGTAATCTGAATAATAGAGTTTAAAGAACATGGGATTGTACAACAGGAAGGCTGAACTACTACTTTCTAAGTATAAAGGGCATACTTCATAAGGCAAAATTATGTCTTAGACAAATAATAAATAATCCAGAGTGCATGTGAAATATGACACTTTGATATTGTTATTCACAAGAATATAATTATTACACTTTAAAAATGTTTTTAATTAACCATGAGACAAAATAGTGAACTATGTAAGAAAATGAAAACTTTCTACTTATATTAAAGAATACTGTAATGTTATGAAAGGAGACTAATATTTACCTGAAGAAGAAACTTCATTAAAGCTTCTAATACTCATATGGGTTTTATAAAAACAATTTGATCAAAATATCAGAAATATAAAAAACTCCTTTATAAAACTGTCTTTACTTCTTGCAAAAGAGTCACCTATACACTTTTATTTTGAAATAAATTTAAAGATGGTAATTGAGAAACTAAAAGTGTTTCCGGGTAAGGCTGAAGACCCATTTGCCTATTATCTTTCAACTTTTGTACTATAATTTTGGCAAATTCTTCTCCTTGGATGTCAGTGATGTCCAGTAATTGTCTGACTTTTGAGGTCCTTGTTGGTTTGGTACTAATGAGTTCATAGTCCTCCTTCATGATCAAGTCCCTAGACAGCAGGGCATCTAGCGATTGGTTAAGGCAGGCTTCAGTCATCTGGTTCACAATGTCTTCCCTTTTACTCTGGATCCACTGTTGGGCTATACCAGGCTGTAATCGCTCTGTAGTTAAATAAGGGAAGACACTTAAAAAGGTGAGAAGATATATAGCTATGAGTAAAATTACGTAAGAAAAGCAATAGTAAGATTTTGATTTTCATGTAATTATGATTTTCATATAATTATACCAATGTGGTATACCAGTATTTGGGGTAGATTATTAACTTTCAGGAGCCATTCAAATATTCCTCCCTTTCCGTCTTAGAAAAAGGACTGTCTTTTTATCTGTTATAAATTATGGGGCAAAAATCACATTATTTTCTTCTCAGATCTTTAGAAAAATGTAAGTACTTCCTCCCTAGCTGGATGTTCATGGAACATCATTTGGGCCTTTATTACATGCCAGTGCTCATATCCTTGAGATTAGAAGTGCTTTCCTACTGATGATACATATTTTTCATATTGATGAAATAAAGGCAAATAAAACTGTAATTGTATGGCACATGTATTGAACATATTGTTGTGTCAAGTAAATGACATAATTTAAAAAGTGTATCACAAGAAATATTTACCTGAATTTCCCTCAGCTGAGAGTGAATTTATTGTTGCTGTAGAGGGTACACTAGTCTTGTGATCACAGAATGTCACCCTCTGAGTTGTATAAACGTTACTATCACAGCTGTGATTTACTGGACATTGATGCAGCACAGAATAGTCTTGCATTTTTCCTATAAAACATAACATCTTCATTAACTGTAAGATATTCTTAGATATCTCTATTTGCTAAAATGTTATCATTTGGAGCATACAGAGAGTAATATTCAATGTCTTTAATTTTTCATTGTTTTTCAAGTAAGATCATAAACCCAATTCAGCAAGTAAATACTATTTTTTAGAACAAAGGTTTATACTGAATACTTTCACCATATTTGTGTTTGTCTTTGTAAATTAAAAATCACAGAATTTTACTTCTGTGTCTTCTTGGCTCCTACTGTACTTTAAATATGTCTTCCAAACTCATCGATGGCATGTGTGTTTCTATACTCTTTGGCAATCCTAATCAACTTCATGGCCTCAACTGCCACTTCTCTTTGTAAATAAATCCATGTAATTAAACTTTTTGTTTTCATTGAACCTAGTCCTACATTTTCAACAGTTCACTCACTATCACCCTCATATATGTTGCTAAGTATCTCATATACAAAAACATGAGACACTTATTCATTTTAACTCCTAGACCTGTTTCAACTCTTATTTCTGTTAGTAGCACCAATGCTTTTTCCTGTTTACCAGGTTTAACAAATTGTTTATCTTTTTCTCTTTCTTCCTGCAAGAGAAAAGTTGTAGTCTTATCAGTGTGTCCTATGTAACATCTCTGACACCACTGTTCCTTTCTTGTAATCTCTTATCTTTGCTATAGTAATAGACCAATAATCCAACTGGCATCCCCAATGTAAGTCTACTTTTCCTTCTGAAATATCCTATATATTCCAATCAGGATGAATCTTTCTAAGGGAAAAATTTTTACCATGTGGCACCCTTTTTCAAAAACTTACAAAAGTTGCTCTCTATTCAAATATAAAAGTCCAAATAACTTAGCTTAGTGTTAGAATTTATAATAATTCCACCCTAGTGATCTTTACCTCCTTTTTTTTTTTTTTTTAAACCCTCTTTGCCTATTAAGGCCAACTACTCACTGTTCTCTGGCTTCTGGCCTCTATGTTGTTCCTTTGCCTGGAATTCCCATCCTTTGTAACTATAGGTCCAACCTTCAGCCAGAAATAATTTCTTCATGATGATAACATGATACAGTGGAGTGACATAAAATTATCAAAAGGCTTGGCTTTCAGTCTTGGATGTGCCATTACTAACTATGTAATCCAGAAGTCTTGATCTTAAAAATCTGTAAAATGAGGAATAACTCCCTCACAAGGTTGTTGTGAAAGTACTTTGTAAAACATAGTACTCTGTCACTACTCTGTCTTAGCTCTAGACCACATCTCTTCCATCACTTTCTGTGTCATACTCGTTACTTAGAAACATTTCTCCTTTCTTAGAAGATATTTTTTAGTATCTTTCTATGGTGTCTAACACAATGTCTCTAATACTTAAATATATTTTTTGAACATCTCAGTAGTATTATCATATCTTTAGACTGTCGCTTTTTAAAAATGAGTTATGAATGCAAGTGAAAGATGTATTCCATATAAACCATGATTTCTTGCCAAGAATATGATCTTGAAAGAAAACAGAAAAATTACAAGTAGTATTGACTAAAAAAATGTACATACTAGATAAAAAACCATTGTCTTGAGGCACTGACAGGGACCTTGAAGTTCCAGAAGAGACACTACTTTTATAGTGCTGAGAGGTTCCACATGATTCCTAAAGTAAATAGAGGGAAACCATTTAGGATTATGAAATATCATTTCAAAAATTATATACAGCTTTAATTTCTAAAAAATTCTTGTTTTGGCTTATTATAAGTAATCAATACTACAACAAATTATACCTTATGAAATTCGACACACACACACACCCCAATTTCTTTATCAATTCAAAATGGGCAATGATTATTACAAATAGTTTTTCCATATTTTCTACAAAATCTCAGAGACTATTTTCAGTGAATAAGACACTTGAAACCTGCAACTCTGGTTTCTTATTGATTTAGAGCAAATACCTATTGCTAGTCTCAATGCCTCAATTTCTTTCAACACAGAGGGATGGAAAACCACAGACAAACTAATATAGTTTGGTTCTCCTAGCACTGTCATGTAATTGTGAATCACTGACAAGGCATTTAAACTATCTGACTCTCAGGTTCTTTTTTTACAGCATCTGTAATCTATTTAAAAATGTGAATATATGGGCTCTAAGATCCAACACATAAAAGTGATTCAAAAACTATGTATTGTGCTGTAAGGTTCATTTTGGAGGTATTAATACATTTTAGTGGCTTCATGACTTCAAAAACGAGGCACTGTGTCTTAAGGTTCATTTGGAAAGTTTTAATACTTTCTGAGTCTGTAAAATTAACATCATATATTCTTACAAGAAATTATTAATATGAAGTCTGAATGACTGCTACTAAAAGAAATCTTTCCTGGGCCTCCCCGGTGGCGCAGCGGTTGAGCGCTGAGTTGCGAAGCTGCCCGCAGCCTCTGCAGCGCCAGTTGGATCCCTGGCTGCTCCCTGGCCACCGGAGGAGGGTCCCACATGGCGCGCAGACCTCTCCTGCCGCCCGATGTTCCCCTCAGCAGTGTACTTCGGTCCTTCTGCCTGCTCTGCTCCCTGCTCTGGCTCTGGTGAATTCTCTCACCTTCACGCGCTTCTGACTGTACCCAGTGCTTGTATAAATAAATAAATAAATCTTAAAAAAAAAAAAATCTTTCCTTTTGAGCAGTCACAAATTGTATAGTCACATGATTTATAGCCATATTTTATAGTCATTCATTTTCCTCACATTTTATAGCACATAAAATGGCAGTGCTTTTTCTAGGCAGGAAAGGGAAAAGATAATTCAAGTATCTGAATGCTTTGTGAAAATAGCAGCATACCCCAAATAATGATATCCTTTATTGCATGATCATTGGGAAATTAGGTTTTATGCCTTTTTGGATGGCCACAATGATTTTATTTTCTTTTTTCTAAATTTATTTATTTATGCATACAAGAACTAGAGTAACAGGCCAGAGGTATAGGGGGTGAGAAGATTCACCAGAGACAGAGTGGGGAACAGAATAGGTGGATTGACTGAAATACACTGGTGAGGGGAGCAGTGGGCAAGTCACAAGAGGTCTGATGCTCCATGCGGGTAGCTCCCTAGCCGGGGAGTGAACTCGTGCTGCAGTGGCTACAGATAGCTTCATAGGTTGCAGGTTTCAAGTGTCTTATTCACTGAAAATAGTCTCTGAGATTTTGTAGAAATATGGAAAAACTATTTGTAATAATCATTACTCCCACCAACAGTGCAGGAGAGTTCCTTTTTCCTCGCGCCACCAGGGAGGCCCCATAATGAGTTTATTAACCATTGTAGGAGATAAGGACAAGGAAGGTATTATAGTTATTTTACATTTGGATAAGAAGGCATAAATATAGTGGCAGAACTGTAATCAATGATTTGCCTATGTACTTCCCTGTAATGACATTCATCATATAAAACAATAACATGTACAAAAATTAATACCAAAACGAGGCAAGTACTATGATTTGATGAGTTGAACAATGAACTGAGAATAAAGAAAGCTGGATTTCAAGTTGAAGATTGCCACTGGCTAGCTAACAAGTGCTTAAATCTCTCCTGCCTTTAATTTCCCATTCATAAAAGAAGAAGTTAGACTGAATAATTTTCCCATCCTTTTTATATTTTGAGTTTATCAGCAATTTTTTTTACCTCCTGTGGACCATGATTTACAGATATGTTCAGAGATAATTCCATTTTCTTCTCACATAAGTGAATAGTACTTGAAGCACTCTGTAACTAGAATGAATATATAAATGTACTTTAATTTGGAGGTCATTAGGAAATTATACCAACAATTCACTTAACATATTTTATATGTTTATACAAAATCAATGGAAAGAAAACCTAAATCAGTTGAGGATATAATAAATAACTTAAAGATAGATACAGTATAGGCGAAACATTATATGACATGCACCTCAAACACATGATTTACAGACACATCACCCAAAGCAGTGATAGTGAAGGCAATGATAAACAGCTGGGACTACATCAAATTAAAGAGTTCTGCACAGCAAAAAAGACAATAATCAAAACAAAGAGAAGCCCCACTGACTGGGAGAAAATTTTTGCACACAACACTAATGATAAAGGACCGATCACAAAAATCTACAAAGAGCTGATGAGACTCAAAAAAACAAAGAAAATAATCCATTCAAAAAATGGGCAGGAAAGCTCAAAAGAAACTTCTCAAAAGAGGAAATGCAAATGGCCAACAGGCATATGAAAAAGTGTTCAACATCACTAGTAATCAGGGAAATACAAATCAAACCTACAAGGTATCTCTACCATCTTACACCAGTGAGAATGGCACATATTAAAAAAACTAGCAACAACAAATGTTGGTGAGGATATGGAGAAAAAGGAACTCTCCTGCATTGTTGGTGGGAGTGCAAACTGGTCCAACCACTATGGAAAGCTGTGTAGAGATTTCTTATCCTACTAAAGATAGAGCTTCCATATGATCCAGCAACTCTACTCCTAGGTATTTACCCAAAGGACACAGAAACATTATTTCCAAAGGGCACCTGCACCCCTATGTTTATAGCAGCACTATTTACAATAGCTAAGCTTTCGAAACAACCCAAATGCCCAAAAATAGATGACTGGATCAAGAAGATGTGGTATATATACACAATGGAATATTACTCAGCAATCAAAAAAGATAAACTCATGCAATTTGCAGCAACATGGATGGCGCTGGAAGGGATCATGCTCAGCGAAATAAGGCAGAAAAAAAAAGAAAAATACCGGATGGTCTCACTCATAGCAGGAATTTAGCAAACCTAAATAAGAGACCAGGAAAAAGACTAATTGCAATAAAGTAAAAATCAAAATCAACAAGCAACTATAGACCAGAGACACACTACAGTGAGGGGAGAGGAGAGGAGAAGAGGGATTAGGGTAAGAAAAAGGGGGTGGGAAATGTATGGGGAATATAACCAAAATGAAAATGCAGACATTATGCAAAAATGAAAAAATGATGTAAGAATTATATAAAATAAAATAATTTATTAAAAAAGATAGATACAGTATAAAATAGGGCAAAAAATTTTAGAGACACAGGCCTCATAGTAACTGATTACATTGAGCAAGTTATTGATCTTTTAAGGCTTCATATATAAAAATGGAATAACACCCACATGCAGAACTATTGCAGAGATTAAGTAAGATAATGAATATAAAGTTTCTGGTGCAAGCTAGGTACATAATAAATTTCAGTTTGTGTTTGTTTATCCATAAGTATTAAGCATTTACTGTACTTTAGGCACTGAGCTTTATAAGTACTATAATTATTTAAATTTTATAGATAAAAGAAAATGAGGGTAACTAAGTAAAGGAGGCAGTATGTCCTAAGCAGTCAATTAGATCTGATTTAGAATCCCAGATACCTAACTGTTTGATCTTGGATATGAGACTTAATCTCAGTTTATTGACCTATAAGCTAGAGATAAGAATACTACCTTTTGCAGGGTAATTGTAAGGGTGATTAAAAGTAATACATGCAAAAATGCCCTGAGACTTAATAAGAATTCAAGAAATGGTAGACGTTTGCAGATGATTTATTTAAATGTTAACTTTTGTATTAAAGTCATTAATTTACTCCTGTCTCTACAAACCAGGCTTGGATTAGTTAACATCACTACTGAGAGATATGAAAACAAATTTAGTCTGCTTCTCTTCCCCAAATCAATGCTAACTGCTTTACTGGTGGGTTTCTCACTTGCCCCTCCCTTTTTTATACTTACGAATGTCTACTACATTACAAGGAAAGGGAATTCCAGTAAGAAGAAATATTCATCTCAAACTTCCTTGCCCCTCCCTGGCCTGGTGCCACGGGCCTGGGAATCCTACTTTATTTCTATCCCTTTTTCCTCAATAAACTTTTTTCTTTCTCTAAACAAAAACAAAACAAAACAAAAAAACAAAAAGAAGAAAAGAAGAAAAACAAAAAAGAAATATTCATCTCAATATATACAGACATAATGTACCTATACAATGAACATTTGTTAAATACACTTTTATGTGAAGCTATAAAACTGGTCTTTGCATCTATTTTTATTATATGCAGTTTTTCTATGCTTTTTATACTTACCAAATATTTCTGATAACGCAATATCCTTGAAGAGCATAATTTCTTATAACTGATCAGTTATTCTAATTCAAACTATTCATGAACCAGTGAGTGGATTCCAAGGAATGAAGTGGAATGTTTAGGAAAAAAAAATTGGTTCAGTTTCTACTACCTCAAGATACAGGAATTGTTATCTATAAATACATGAATTATAGAAGCTGGCTCAAAGAGCTGAGAAAAATGTAGGAAACTCAAATAAAACAAGTCACCCTAAATAGTGATCAACGTTTCAGAAATTTCTTTATCAAAAATCCTATTAAATTTGTATTCTACTTTTAGCCCTGCTGTAATCTAGCTTTGTAGGGTTTTGTGTGACTAAACTTACTCTATATCTCAGTTATCTCATCTATAAAATGCAGATAATATTCCTGCTCTACCAGTTTTACAGAATTGATGTAAAGATTAAAAAAAGAAAAGGAAAGGAAAACAGCTCACAACTCAAAGTGAAAACAATACAGCAACTCAAAAACACCAAAAGAAGTAATGTTATTAGTAAATGTTTTATAAAGTTTTTGAAATACATTTTAAATTACTTTATATTACAAGCCAAATTTTCTTCTTAAAAAAAGCAATTTTAAATATAGTTTCTAATGTTTAAGTTGTTGGGAACAAAAAAAGGAACTATAATGTTTCTCTTCTACTTCATAACCAAGAAAACAGAACTTCCTATCCCCCTTGCTTGGCAGAAGAGAAAGTTGTGAGGAGAGAAAAGGGCATTTGCATTGAAAGATAAAGCAAAAAGAAAATTTTTTTCTATTAAGAAGTGGAGAAATTGGATTGCTCTGGAAAAGACTGAAAATAAAAGGGTGAAAGTCAGTGAAAAGTTATCAAAAGAATCAAAACATAGTTCCTAAAAAACTCATGTAGTAATATATTGCCACTGTCAAGTTTTAGTTTGACTAAGGGTAGTGGTTTCCTTCATGCAACTTCCCTTTTGAATCAAAGGTTGTGTCAACAGATTAGGCAAGCCACAATAGCAATGTCAGTATCGTACTGGCATAAAAAGGACCCATAAATCAATTCAGTGGAACAGAATAGAGAATCTAGAAATAACCCTGTGTACAAATATGGCTAATTAATTAATTAACAACAAAAGAGCCAAGAATATATAATAGGGAAAGAACGGTCTCTTCAATAAAAGGTGTTAGAAAAACTTGTCAGCCACATGCAAAAGTGTGAAACTACCCTATCATCTTATACCAGACACAAAAATTAACTGACAGTGGAATAAAGACTTGACAATGGAATTAACTGACAATGAAATCAAGATCTGAAACCATAAAACTCCTAATAGAAAATGTAAGTGGTAAGCATCTTAACATTTGTCTTGGTGATGAATTTTTGGATCTGACTCCAAAAGCAGAGACAACAGAAACCAACTACAGGAAACTAAAAAGTTTCTGCAAAGCAGGGAAAACTATCAACAAAATGAAAAGGCAACCTACCAAATTTTTTTTTCAAATGTACAGAAAATATCTGTAAATCATCTATTTGATAAAGGATTAATATCCAAAATATTATAAAGAACTCCTACAACTAAACAACAAAAACAGTCTGGTTAAAAATGGGCAAAGGATCTGAAGAGACTTTTTTTCCCCCAAAGAAGACATATAGAAGATGAGCAAATACATGAAAAGATGCTCAACACCACTAATAATCTGGGAAATGCATATGAAAATTGCAACGAGATATCACCTCATAAATTGTTAGAATGGCTATAATCAGAAAGACAAATAACAAGTGAGGCAGTAGAAAAGGGAACCCTGTGTACTGTTGGTGAAAAATGTAAACTGGTATAACCACTAACAAAAACAATATGGTGGTTTTACAAAAAATTAAAAATAGAGCTACTATATGACTAGAAATACTCAGAAATTCCAATTGTGGCCATTCATTGAAGAAAAAAAAACATTAATTTGAAAATATGTATGCACCTCCAAGAAATAATCTGTAATTGTGTAGCTATAATATTGTTGACTTACAATAAAAAATTATATATCTGGGCCTGGCACAGAGCTTCTAAAACCACTGAAATTTCCAAAGTGATGAGAGCTATAAAGATGTCTTTTGTTTTATGAGTGGTGTAACTTTTTGAATGCCCATAGGTAACAAGGATGGAGGCTGGTTGTTATGGAAGCCAATCATGTGACTAGGAAAGTTGGAACTTTCAGTAGTGGAAGGACTCCCCACACTCCCAACCTCTGGGAGGAGAGTGGGGCTGCAGTTTGAATCTATGAATCAGTGGTCAGTAATCTATTCAATCACAACTATGCAATGACGTCTCCACAAAAACCCAAAAGGATAGGGATTTGGAAAAAGTGAAGCACTTGAAGAGAGAGCATGGAGGCTCTACACCCTTTCCCCAAACCTTACCCTATGCATGCCTTCCATCTGGATGTTAATCTGTAGCCTTTATCTTACCTGCTTTTAATAAACCAATAATCCATCAAGTTAAAAAAAAAATTTAGTAGTCCACATCACAAGAAAAAAAATGTAACTATGTATACGGTACCAGATGTTAACTAGACTTACTGTGGTGATCATTTCACAATCTATACAGATATTGAATCAATAAGTTGTACTAATAAATTATATGCTAATTATAGCTAAAAAATGCATCAAGAGAGTCTTGAGATCTTGCAGAGAGTAGCTTCTTGGTAAAAAATTTATTTTCTAAACACAGAAATAAATAAATACCTGAGTGATAAACCACTCAGTCAGGCTTTATCACCTGGAATCAAAACATTTGGCTGTCACATATAGAAACTTCCTGTGCTTTTCCTTTGTGCTAAGAGAAGGCAGAAGATAGGTTATGCTCTCTGTGACTTCTAGATGCTGGTTATCAGTTGAATGTGGTTAGTATTTGTGACTATCGTGGGTTTTTTTGTTTGTTTTGAGAACTAGAGTTACTTGGCAATTGCAAGCACATAATTGTTTCTTGACTCTGCCAGTGTGTTAGCCTGAGCTGGCTCTTATTTTGCAGTTTGTTATTTCCTGATGGTCAAGGAGATGAATGGAAATAAAAACATCTGTGCCTTTTAGAAATAAAGTTGAAGTTAAAAAAAAAGAAAACTTTGGCTAATAGGATGAACACTTCCAGCTGGATGAAAAGAAAAGCCGCAATAGGAAAGAGATTGGGTTTTCCTGATCAGGTTTGGGTTTTTGTGGATTCTCAACCTGATGAATCAGTGGCAATCAAGCATTTTGTCCAGTGACACAAGGTGGAACTAGCTGTCCCTCCATTCTCTGCCCAATAATTCATTTACCATTATTGGGGAGAGGGAGTATCTAGCATATTATATGGACTTGTCACCTGTCCAAATGTGTACTTTGGAGTAATATGTAGAAGCCATTTTAAGTCTGAAGTGCTATTCCAATGCATGGTATTATTATCCACACTATTTCTAATGATGATCACAATACATTATGTCCTGTACTGCATTTAAGGACTTTTCTAAAATACAAAAAATGTTGTCTAATATCCTGCCTGACTTTATAGCTGCTTATGGCAGAAGACTGGGGGAAATGCCTTATAATACACTGACTCATAGAGTAATAACTAATTCTCGGCAATGTCCTAGAGGAACTATTAGAATTGATTGGAAGGTACAAAAAACACAGGTACTTCCTAGCAACTGTAATAGGCACTTGGTATTCAAAGCCGTTTTCACCCTTAACAGTTAGTGGATTGATATTATTGATAGTGTCTTAAGATTTATGCATCGTACCACACACCTGTGAAAATGGCTCATATCCAAATAAGTGTTGTCAAGAAGTGGAGAAAAAGCAACCCTGGCATGTAGACTTATCCAGCTCATATGGAAAACAGTTTGGAGATTTCTGAAAATAGAAGATGGATCTACTAGATGATTCAGCAATTCTATTCCTATGTATGTATCAAAGAAATGCAAAAACACTAATTCAGATGGGTATGTACATTCCTATGTTCAATGCAGCACTGTTTATAAGAGCCAATGTATGGACACAACCTAAGTGACCAAAGACAGATGAGCAGATTAGGAAGATGTATATCTACACAATGGAATGTAATTCAGCTACCAAAAAAGATAAACATTTGCCATATGTGACAACATGAATGGAACTGGAGGATATTATGCTAAGTAAAATAAGTGAAAAGGAGAAAGACAAACACCACTTGTATTTGGAATATAGAGTAACAAACAAACAAAAAAAGGGTCAGATAGAACCAAATCAAACCTAAAAATCTATTGATAACTATAGAATTGAAGCAACCAGAAGTGGAGGGAAAGTGCAGGAATTTCTGTTAGTCCTGTGCTTTAAGCAAAAAAGTAATTTAGGATAGTCTGTGAGAACTGGGGTCCAATCTAAATTAAATGATGACATGGTACAGATGGAATACATTCAGCATGGAGCACCTGTGTTGTAAGGTATACCTTATTAGACATAACTGAGTTATATAGTGACAATATAACTATTGTCACTAATTTGGAAAAGAATCTGTTGGCTATGAAAAACAATATCAGAGACAGCACGTGGGATAAAATTTTCCTGAAAAATGTGCTTTCCTTTTCAGTGGAGACATTTAAACACTTTTCCTTTCATTAGAATCAAAGAGGGTTTTCAGGCCACTGTGGGCAGATAAGTGAGAATACTCTAATCAGATTGTTTGCTAAAGGCTATGATAATGTTTCAGGATATCAGTAAGCAATTGATTGAGAATAATTCCACTGATGCCAAATATCGCCTAAGGTGTCAAACCAATATATTAAGACTTCAGAGAAATGTGGATTTAAAAAATTCTAGAGATTTAGAGTATTAATTATACACAACTGGCATTCATTACATCTTTTAAATTTATATTTGCTGTATGGATCTCTGAAAATCTAGAGATAATAATATGAATGAAATGGGAAAAACTCTTCTGTGACAAAGGAAAGTTAGTATTCATAGTCTCTGGTAAATTCTCCTGCACCAATACTGTAGCCTATATCTGTGTAAAGAATATAGATAAAAACTAAATTACATTAAACAAAAAGCCCAATAAATGATGTTATTTAAAGTTTTAATTTCTAGCATTTCATTCAGTAATTTACCTTTGTTTTCTTTAGTTGAATGACAGCTTCATGAAAAGTTATCTCTTCAAATGTTCTCAGAACTGGCTCAAGTTCTATTAAACATTCTAAGTAAGAAAAAAAATGATTTTGAATAGTTTCTAATTATTAAATTGAAAAACATAACAATTAACTGATAGGGCTCTGAGTCAATACCCAATATGATTACATTCAACAGTCTTGAGAGCCTTTATTATAACTATAAATGAACAGACATATAGATCAACAGAATCAAATTGGGATTCCAAAAATAAACCCTTACAATTAATGCCAACTGCTTTTGGACAAAGTTGCTAAGGAAATTCAGTAGGTGAGGGGTCTCCCTGGTAACTTAGGGGTTAAAGTCCCAGCACTATCAAGCTATTGCCAGCCACTGCAGCATGAGTTTGATCTCTTGGCCAGGGAGCTAACCCATATGGCGCAGCGGACCTCTCCTGACTCGCCCGCTGCTCTACCCTCAGCAGTGTATTTCAGTAGATCTGCCTGTTCTGCTCCCCATTCTATCTCTGATGAATCCTCTCACCTCCTCTCACCTCCACACACCCCAACCCCGCACTTCTCGCCTATACAGCAGTTCTTGTATGCACAAATAAAAAAAATTCAGTGGGTGAAAGGGTAATCTTGTCAACACATGGTACTAGGACAGTTGGATAGCCACATGGAAAAAGATAAATTTAGTCGCTTACCTCACTCCATACATAGAACTAACTTGAAATGGATCATGCACCTAAATGTAAATATAGGAGAAAATCTTCATGACCTTGGGTTAGGCAAAGAATTCTTAGATATGACATCAAAAACAGGATCCATAATAAAACTGATAATTGGACTTCAAAAATATTGGAAAATTTTGTACTTCAAAATATGCTATTAAGAAAAATAAAAAGACAACCTGAGAGAATATTTCTGCATATCATGCATTTGCTAAAAGACTTACATCTAAAATATATAAAGAGCTTTGACAAGTTAAAAATAAGATAATTAAAAAATGGGCAAAAGATTGAATTTCACTAAGGGAGATATGCAAGTGGCTAAAAACATAAAAACATATTTAATGTCAGTAGCCATTTGGAAATGCAAATTAAATGTAAGAAGTATTACTCCATATTCACTCAAATGGCTATAAATAAAAGAAGAATTACAAGTGTTGTGGAAAAATCCACATCATAATACATCCACTTTAGAAAACAATTTGACAGTTTCTTAAAAATAAAAGGTTAATTTAACATACAACCCAGCAATTCTACTCATAGGTAGTTACTTAAGCATGTTCACACTAACACTAGCAATTTGGCAGTCATAGCAGCATTATTCATAATAGCTAATACCATCACAGTGGCTACTACTCCAATAATAAGTGAACTTGTTGCTCAAGGGAGAGGGTAGGGCTACAGATACAAAACTGAGCATCATTAACAAATAGATGGTATATAAAGTCATGATTTGAACTGGATCACCCAGAAGGGAGTATAGATAGCAAAAAGTAAAGGAACCTATGTGCAAACTCTGAGATATTCCAACCATTAGAAATTGAGCAGAGGAAGACAAAAACATTGAGGAAAAGAGGACAGTAGAGTGTAGTCTCTCATGTCGTAGAACCCACCAAAGGAAATTTTTAAGTTAAAACTAATGTGCCAAAAGGCCAAGTTAAGATTAGCAGGATTTTCCAATATCATCATTGTTGGATTGTTGGTAACTTGAACAAATGTAATTTTAGTGGAGAGATGAAAAAAGGACATTGATATAAATATGTTTAAAAATGAAATTAGATGGAAAAAATGAATTAGATGGAAAGAAGTAGAGGACAAGTATGGACAAGTACTACAAAATAGTTCTGAATGGGAGCAGAAAAATGAGGTGGTAGCTGAAGGATGATATAGTATAAGATTTTTTTTCCCATATAAAAATAAGAGACAATAATGGAATATATCTGTATGGCAGTCCTATGGTCCAGTAGACATGGAGAGACTGGCAAAGTAGGCGATGAGAAAGTATATAAGGAATAGAATTCTGGAAAGAGGGAGGAAATGGTACTGAGAGCACAACTGGTCCTACTCATATTTGTATAAGTTTATAGACTACTTTTCTCCATTGCAACAGAGCTAATGCATGAAAGATGGATAATCAGTACAACTAAGTAGATAGCTCTGCTAGTGGAATTATGAGGGAATTCTCTCTCATGGTTTCTATTTTCTCAATGTCATGTGGAACAGATCATCAATTCATAGGAAAGATGGAACACAGAGTGAAGAAGGCTTAAGAAGAGAGACTAAGGTATGTGTGTCACTCCTCTTTCTGAGTTCAAAATCTGTAACAAAAGTCATAGACTATAGATAGAAGGTGATCAAAATATCACCTTTATTACTGATAATGCTATTTGGAGAAAGTACCTTTAGATCTGTAGCCTATAGGCTTGGTAATACTTTACCCCTGCAGTTGACAGCGTTACTCACTAAGCCACAAGTCTCACCGTGCTTTCACATGAGGGAGCAGAAAATATGTGCATCCTTTAGACAGGCTGACTTCTAAAAGAAGGAGAAAACTAACATGAACCCACATAAGCATGTTCAGTTTTTCTCCAAAATTAATAAATGAGGTAAGTCTGAGGAGGAGTGACTGAGGAAAATACAGAAGCTGAAATATTCTACCTACTGTATATTTTCCTTCTTGGGAATTGAAGTGGGAATTTCAACCTCATTTTGGAAACATGAAGAATAGAACTTGAGTGTTGTTTTCAGCAAAGATGATAATCTATGGGAGTAATTCTCAGACTTTTATATGTCAGGACTCTTCAAAATTGTTGACTACCCCAAAGAAGGTTTGTATATATGAGTCATATCTACTGATACTTACTAAATTAGAAATTAAAACAGAAAAATTTAGAACAGAAGAATATATGCGAACACAAATGTTAACTATTGGAATAATGATATAATCACACCTCTGGAAAAATCCATTATACACTTATGAGAGAAGAGTAAAAATGGGAAAATAATTCCTAGTATTTATTATTTTGAAAACAGCTTTGATTTTGTGAACTCCTTATAAGAGTGCCAGAGACCAACCCTCATGCTCCCACCTGCACCCCAAGCTTCGTACACTCTTATACTTTAAGGACAGCTGATCTATGATAATGGAATAGCAGATGTATTTGAGAAGCATAACGGAATTGCTAAGTAGTGTTTAGTGCCTGATTTTGGCCATTAATTTACAGAAACTAGTGACTTCCACTTCAGATCAAAATGGAGTAGTTGGAAATGGTTTATCTTCCTGATTTAAGCAACTAAAAAGCCTGACAAAGTAAATGAAACAGTGAATGTTTTTAAGACACTGGATATCAGACAACAAAGAACATTGATCTCTAACATATGGGAAACAAATGAGATGAACCTTAAGATTTCCTGGATTACTACCTGAGAAAATTTCTAATTAAAGCACAAAGAGAAGGAAGTGAAATAGAGCTTGGTAGACATTCAGAGTTGAAGAGATGGGGCTGAGAGTCTTGGTAAACTAAGGCAGATAGGTTCATAGGGACAGAGTACCAGAGAAAAGGGGACGTGCAAAGAGAGAGAACTTCAGAGATCTGAAGAATGTTCCCCACAAGTACTGAACAATATGATTAATGCAGGGTGAAAAAGTAAGCCAAAAACCAAAGTCATCAATGAACAATAAGGAAAAAAATCAGGAAATTCATAAAGAAGTATTGCCCGATGGCTACATTTTTTAGGGCGCTACAATTTTTAGGGAGTGGAGAGGAGATGGCCCTGGGACAAAGGGTATATGGCCCCCAGGCTCACGGCTCTGGGAAATAGAAGATAATATGTGAATCCATTATTTTAGCAACTTTTACTCTTTTTAAATGTAAAAATGGTGAGCACTGGACAGTTTTTATTGGAAAATCTATTTCATTGTTTTTTCAGTTGGAATGAAGATTCTCAGTTTGCATCTAGTCTTTTCAATCTTTTTAATGGACTCTTAAAATGCAAAAATTTAAATTTTATTTAAGTCCGATTATTAGTTTTTTCAAAATGGATCTTACTATTATGTAATATCTAAGAATTCTTTGCCTTGCCCAAGGTGTTGAAGATTCTCTTCTACATTTACATTTAGGTGAGGATTCATTTTACTTCTGAAACAAATCTTAATTCTATCAAATTTTTCTTTCAGGATTACCACCTTAATTAGGAAATTCCTGCAAGAGCCTCCTAGCTGCTCTCTTTGCTTCTATTCTTCCCTTCTCCAATTATTTTCCATGCAACAGCATTGGTTTCTTATAAACTTAAATGAAATCATGTCATCTTCCTACAAAATACTTTAATGGTTTTCCATTGTACTTGGAATATGTAACATTTTAATGATGGCAATAGCCTCTTCTCCCCCCACTAATCTTTTCTCATATTATTCCCTTCCTTGCTCACTGTTTTCCAGCTATACACACCTTTCTTTCTTGTTCCTTGCAAATACTAAAGTTTTCTCTTCTGGTCTTAAGGCCTTTTCCTTGCTGTTTTCTCTGCTTGAAATACTCTTCCTTTAGCTGTTGAATGGCTGCCTTCTTCCCAAGCTTCAAATTTCAGTTCAAATTTTTAACTTCTATCTAAAAGGCTTTCTGCCCCTCCCCTAGCTACTCTTTTATTGGGCTTATTTCCCTATAGGACTTTCACAATTTATGACTTGTTTATTTATGTGGTTTTCCCCTGCCTTTTCAAAGTAGAATGTGAACTCCAGGAATTTAGCAACTTAGATTAACCTTGTTCATTACTCTGTTACTCATGCTCATCTCAGTACGAACCACGTGGCAGGTGGTCAATAAATTCTTTTTTAATGTGAGTGGAAAGATAACTTCTATCAAATAATTTTTCTGTTAGGAATTCTCAATTCTGCTCTAGAAATAGTTACCCCTTTATAAATGCTATGAATAGCAAAAGAAAAGAGAATTAAAAACAAAACACTGATTTTGTCATCTAACTTCCATAATTATTCAAGAAATCTTTAATTCACAGTATATTTGTTACTTTCACAACTTAAAAGGTTCAGGTTAATACTTTACACTCACTTAAGAAAGATGGTCTTTCATCTGGATTTTGTGCCCATCCACTTTGTATTAAAGAGATCATAAGTGCTCGATGAGGTATATCAAATGGCAAACTTTCTTCATTAGTGTCAGGTCGATGTCCTTGTGATACACTATACATAATCTGCAAAGGGTTGGTGACTTCTGTAGAAACAAATATATTTCATTCATTAGAAATATATTATTCAGGGCTTCCCTGGTGGCACAAGTAGTTAAGTACTGCACTATGAAGCAATCTGCAGCCTCTGCAGCATGAGTTTGATCCACGGCCGGCCAGGGAGCAACCCACATGGTGCAGCAGACCTTTCCTGGCTCTCCCACTGCTCCCCTCAGCAGTGTACTTTGGTCAATCTGCCTGTTCTGTTCACTCTGTCTCTGGTGAATCCTCTCACCCCCTGCATCTCTGGCCGGTACCCCAGCTCTTACATGAATAAATAAAATCTTAAAAAAATATATATTACTCAAAGTGAAAATGAGAGAATCTTAAAATATGGGAGTAATTCATTAAATTACCCCATTTTCTGTCAAAGGAATACATATATCCCAGTCATTACCAGACTTGTCTACCTCCTTCCTGTGGGAGAAAGATTTTTATTTTTTGCACTTGGTTATATAATTTGATTTGGCCAATGAAACACAGGTAGAGAAGAGTAAAACAGACCTCAGGGCTGAGCAGAAAATAAAAAAGAGCTACTTCAGATAATCCCCTAATGTGAATGATAAATCAAAGTTTATTTTAAACTACTGAGATTTTGAGATTGTTTATAGCAAGGTGACCTATACAAACCTCAAAATTAAGAACTATTACCAGAAAGTTTAAATTATTTCTTAATGTTTACTGGTTCTTTACAGAAGGACCACTAATTAAATTTTCATATAAAGAGTTCTATAGCTAGAATCGGGCCTCCCCTGGTGGCGCAGGCGGTTGAGTGCAGCACTGTGAAGCTGTCTGCAGCCTCTGCAGTGCTGGTTTGATCCTGGCCAGCCGGCGAGGGTCCCACATGGCGAGGCAGACCTCTCCTGTCTTGCCTGCTGCTCCCCTCAGCAGTATATTTCAGTCAGTCTGCCTGTTCTGTTCCCTGCTCTGTCTCTGGTGAATCTTCTCACCCTCCCACGAATCCGCCTGTACCCTGGTTCTTGTGCAAATAAACAAACAAACAAACAAACAAACAAATAAATAAAATAAAGAGTTTTATAGCTAAAATGAATCTTAGAAACAGAAATTCAAAATTTTCATTTTTCAGATAAAAAAATGAGGATACAGGAGATTTAGTGAATTTCTCATAGGGCTAAATGCTGTCAGAACAAGAATTAGAAAATGTATTTTTCTGATCCTTAATCCAGTATACTTTCCACAATACAGTGGATTCACAAGTGGTAAATTATAATGTTTTTATACCATATTTCCCACAAAATGAATGGTAGGCAGATTTAAAATAAAATGAACCTTACACAATTCTGAGTGTGGCCAACCAAATGATATTACCTAGACTAAGAAAGTCAAAGTATACTTACCTTCAAAAGGCTGTTTTCTGGACAAAACTTCCCATGTGATAACTGCATAGCTGTTTAATATAAAAATATATACTTAGTACATTATAAACTAAAAATGTATAATAAACTAAAGTAGCGTGAAATTTAAAGGCTGAGGGCCTCCCCGGTGGCGCAGCGGTTGAGCGCTGGGTTGCGAAGCTGCCCGCTGCCTCTGCAGCGCCGGTTTGATCCCCGGCTGCTCCCCGGCCACCGGAGGAGGGTCCCACATGGCACGCAGACCTCTCCTGCCGCCCGCTGCTCCCCTCAGCAGTGTACTTCGGTCCTTCTGCCTGCTCTGCTCCCCGCTCTGGCTCTGGTGAATTCTCTCACCCTCCCGTGCTTCTGACTGTACCCAGTGCTTGTATAAATAAATAAAATAAATCTTTAAAAAAAAAAAAAAAAAGAAATTTAAAGGCTGACTATAGTAATAGTAATGTAGTTTCTTAAAGTGGTAAGGTACTAAAATGTTCAAAAAAGAAGTATAGCCAAGATGATAAGTATTCATGTACAGTTTTGTTTTGAAAGGAAATTAATCCCAATTTGAAAAAAGGTAATTATTATAATAAAAACTTGAAGTCACAAAGATGACTTGTGATAATCATTCCTAAATATCTATATAAGCTATGCCCTCTAGTTACATGATTTATTATTCACACAAAATAAAGACAAATTAAAAAAATTGTCTAATGTAGTCCTATTCGAGTGACCTTTTTTCCTCATTTAAGAAATTATCTTCTTTGTTAGTGGATAAATGTTAACCACACATAATTTCCCTCTCCCCATCAAAGTAATATATGATAAAAACCCTGAGTATTATAATTTTACAGAACAGTAACATATGCCTTACCTTTTTTTAAGGATTTATAAAAGTGGCTTCAAATAAGGCATTTCTAATTTGAAAAATATTAACCACTGTGGTTACCAATTTATTTTCACCATACTTATGAGTGAAGAAATAAAATCATGCTTTAAAATGTAGCTTCAAAATTCTGACTGATTATTTTTTATTTTTTTAAAGATTAATTTATTTATGCATACAAGAGCTAGGGTGTAGACCAGATATGTGGGAGGGTGAGAGAATTCACCAGAGGCAGAGTGGGGAGCAGAAAAGGCAAATCTGCTAAAATACACTGCTGAGGGGAGCATCAGGTGAGATAGGTAAGGTCTGCTATGCCATGTGGGCTAGCCCTCTGGCTGGCCAGGGATCTAACTCATGCCTCAGTGGCTGCAGATTGCGTCATAATACTGAGACTTAACCCCTTGTGCCACCAGGGAGGTCCCTAATCTTATTTTTCAGATAACATTAACTCTGAGCAAAAGGAACATACTTTACCTATATATATCATGTTTGACACTGGCTCTTGATTTTTGCCCAGGTTCATAGTTTTCAGGTGGCATGTAGATAATTGTCCCTCCTTCTGGTGCAGATTTACTATTTCGTGATTGTGAGAGGGACATCATACGCCATTTTGATAAACCAAAATCTGCAATCTGAAAGGGAAAATATTGAATTTAAAATTTTTCTCCAAAAAATATCCAAGAGTTGACTTAGATATGAAACCAGAGAAAATGTTATAAAGAAAATAAAATCCACGGAGGTTGAAAAGTTTATAAAATGTAAGTTTATAAAATATAAGTTTCACATTATCTTATATAATATATATGTAAGATATATATTTTATAAATATGTATATATATTTCAGGTTATTGGCAATATTTGAAAATACCTCCATAATGTTTTTAGTGTTCTTTGTGAGACAGAATGGAAAGTTTATAGGATACGAGAAAAGAAAATGTCACTCTGATTTTTAAGAAGGTAAAAGAAACACTGATTTTGCAAATCAATATGTTGGTAGGAGATGATTTTCAATCTGTTTTAAAAAACTTAGAAAATTTATGAAAGGAATACTTTATGGATAATGAAAAAGTCAGCAAAAATTCATGAAAACCAAATTACATTAGACAAATGGTCAATTTCAGATCTCATGGATTTACCCCAAGTGACTGGCACAATGCCCAGCATTCCATAGTTGCTCCATAATTACTTACAGAATAAAAACTGACTTCATTTCTTTTCTTGACAGTATTACTACCATGAAAGAGCAAATGTAAAAAGTTTATATATTAGAAAGCAGTCTGAAATACTTGAATAATAAATCCACATGACCATTAAGTTAGCAGGTGTATTTAGTGTATATATGAGAGACCTGGAATGCATTCATTTGTTCATTCAACAAGTAGTTACTGAATGCTTCATTGGCATGAGCTGAGCATGTCATAGTTAATAAAACAGACTGAAATTTTTGTCTTCACAGAGCTTGCTTACTAACTGGGGAAGATAGTCAATAAATATTTATTAAAAATCTTTTATCAGTGAAAAATTCTGTGGGGAAGCATATACCAAAATACAAGAATAGAGAGGAACTGGATGAATGGTCAGGAAAAGCCAAACTTGATAATGAGGCTGAAGGAGGTGAAGGAGTCTGCATGATGATATATGAGAAGACTATTTCATAATAGTCTTATGGACAAAAAGAAAGAAACATGGGTTGTATAATAGCTCTTTTTTTTTTAAAGATTTATTTATTTATTATTTATACAAGCACTGGGTACAGTCAGAAGCGCGGGAGGGTGAAAGAATTCACCAGAGCCAGGGTGGGGAGCAGAGCGGGCAGAAGGACCAAAGTACACTGCTGAGGGGAGCAGCGGGCATTAGGAGAGGTCTATGTGCCATGTGGGACCCTCCTCCGGTGGCCGGGGAGCAGCCGGGGATCGAACTGGCGCTGCTGAGGCTGCGGGCAGCTTCACAACCCAGTGCTCAACTGCTGCGCCACCGGGGAGGCCCATGTATAATAGCTCTTTTAGGAGTAATCCTAACAAATTGAAAGATTTACTATTCCCCAACAGTGGTGATAAGAAAAGGATTCATAATGACCTGAAGGAAGGTTTTGGCATCATGCTCTACAGTTATGATTTGAGCTGTGTACTGGTTAAAAGTTACGACGTGAAGATACAAAAATCTGGTTAATTTAATTCAAGGATGATACAAAGCTGATAGAGAAAGTTCAACCCCTGAACTACAAATATAATGTTCAAAAAGGTCTAAAGAGACTGAAGTGATCACTCCAAATCTAACATGATAAAATCTGCTCATCTCCAGAAAGTACTCTGAAAGTACATTAAGGAAATGTGGCTGAAGCAACAATACACGAAAAAACAGGGCTTTTTGTTGAAACTAAGCCTAATTTGAATGTGATATAGCATTGTCTCCCCCCCTAAAGTGATGAATTATTAAAGAAATATTAAAGAAATAAGAGTATTTAAGACCAGGGAAATCATATTCTACACTCATTAAACCATATCAAAAAGTAATTTTTTTTCAGTTCTGAGGATCAAAATTTAACAGAGATTTAAAGAAAGATATATAAACAAAAGCACCTGGAATTAAAATCCATCTAATAAGGAAACTGGTTGAAGGAACTAAGAATGCTTAGCAGGGAGGACAAAACACAGGTGTCAGTGAGGAGTTGGAGTATAGCTATCTTCAAATATCAGAAGGGCTATCATGTGGAAATGACATCTCTGTAATGACAAAATTACAGAGATGGAAAACAAATTAGTTATTTTCAGAGGTCTAGAATAGTGGAGAAAGGAGTTTGTCATGATTAAAAGGAGAATCATAAGCAATCTTTCTGTCAATTAGTGCTGTATCTTGATTTCTGTGGTAGTTACACAAATTTAAATGTGTTAATGTGATACAGAATTACATACAGGCACTGCATTAATGTCAAATTCTTGGTCTTGAAATTGCACTATTAATTATGTGCAATATAACCACTCGTGGAAACTGGGACCTCTTTGCATTGTTCTTGTAACTTCTTGTGCACCTATACCAATTTCAAAATAAAATTTCAATTAAAAACATAATGACTGTATTTTGTAGGGTAATTCTATCAATATCTTTGGTTTAGGAATGATTAAGGAAGAAGAGACACTGATTATAAAAGTCAGGGCCTCTGGAAAAGGTGATACAGTAAATTTTTCAGGTGGAGGAACGAACTAAACTGTTTTTAAAGATGCAGTAAACTTTTACAATATTACCTTAACATGAAATTCATTATCTAATAAAATGTTCTGAGTCTTCAAGTCATGATGAAGTAGAGGAGGATTCATATTGTGCAGGTAATTTACACCCAGTGCAATTTCATGCAGGATGCGAAATCTCAAAGGCCAAGGAACTTCAGGATATTCAGTTTTCTTCATATATATGGAAAGAAATAAATCAAAAATTAGTGGCTAAATTTCTGATTAGAAAATTAAACTTCTAAGAGGAAATATTACATAAAGGTTAGAACATATGCTCATTTTTATTACATGTATCAATTTCACATTAATCTCCATCTTATTTCTTACTTTTTAGAAAAACTAGTGATAACTTTATAGTATTGCTATTTACTTTTAGTTTATATAGTTAATGCAACTACATGTTCTTGGGACTTCTTTCTTTTGTTGACCCAGCTTTCAATTAGTTTTTATCTGAATGATACTTAGACACATACACTTATACTCACACCCATCTCCCTATTCTACAGCTTATATGATATAAAGTGTACATACTACCATACAAACACAAATAGTTTCTATTATGTATCTATCCATTCATTCAAAACCTATATTTTAATTTTCCTAATAATATAAAACCTAATTTATAATAATCACTGCATCAATTAAAATTATGACCATAATATATTTATAGATTAAGCATTACTGTCTTATACTTTCAGCCAAATAATTAATTTGCACTCTAGTTTGAAAAATTAGCCTTTTGGAACCTTGTTTTTGTGAAGGAAACAATGATCATTTTCATTTTTAAAGCATATATCATATGGATACATTTAAACCATAATGATTTTATTTATTTGTATTTACAAATGATGTTTATCTGAATTTTCTTAAATGTTTTCTGAATATGAAGTTAATGCAGCTTTCCAGAATGACTATACTCAGAAAAATTAGATACATTAGATACTTTGGAAAGATTCAATAATACATGAGGCACCTTGTTCCCAAGAACATTTTTATTTTATACTTATTTTTTCCAAGAACATTTTTAACAATGAAATGGAAAAGTATGTTTCTACAGAAGCCTCATAATTCATCTTCAGAATGCTTTCTGCTACTGGGTCACTTTTCAACAATCTTTTGTGAGGTTGGGGGAAGTGCTTTAAGATAAATCCTAGCCTAATAATGACATACAGAAAAACAAAAGAAACACAAAATACACTAAAGTTGAACATTACTTCCTCTTGTATATATACACATCCTTCCACTTTAGTAACTGAATCTTTTAATTTGTAAAGTGGTTACTTTTCCTGAAAATTATGTAGTTTAAAGGAGTAATGAGAACTTTCTGCAGTATAGTATTGTTTTGGAGGCTTTTAACATAAAGAGGAAGAAAAGGAAGGGCTTATTGTAGATTTTATGATTTCTTCCAAAATCTAGCAATCCCCTTGAAACATGATAAAATTTTTGGTGGGCTCCAAATTTGGGTGCCAAAGTATCTTTTGGGGTGTAGGGGTACTGGAAGAAAACATAAGAATTTCACCTTAAATATTCATTTTTCAATAATAAAAAATGTGCTTCACTGATATTTGTATTTTTTTAAAGATTTATTTATTGTTATACACGAGTTGGGGTACAGGCCAGAGATGGGGGTGAGAGGATTCACCAGAGATAGAGCAGGGAACAGAACAGGCAGACGGACCGAAGTACACTGCTGAGGGGAGTAGCAGGCAAGACAAGAGAGGTCTGTCCCACCATGTGGGTTTCTCCCTGGCTGGCTGGGAATTGAACTCGTGCTGCAGTGGCTGTGGATTGCTTCATAGGTTGCATCTTAACCCCTGAGCCACCAGAGAAGCCCTAATATTTGTATTTTGATAGCTGCAATGGTCACACAAAATCTTTTTTTATTTTTTATTTTTATTATTATTATTATTTTTTAAAGGTTAACAGAAGGTTTATTTACAAGGGAAGGGGAATGAGGAAATGTGCAACTCGGAAAAAAGAGGAAGATAAATTCTTAAATGTGTCCTACCAGTTCCGCCGACCTGGAATCCCAAATGACCCACCTAGACCAAATCTGCCTGGCCAAGAACACGAGCCAAGTGTGCCCAACCCCACTAATATGGCTGGTTTTTATTTACAAACAGAGAAAATGGCTGATTAACTCTTCCCTTAGGTCCTCGCAACTTCCCTTTGGGGATCCTGGGATTTGTAGTTCCCAGTGTTTTGATGGAGTGGGGGGTGACATCCACAAAGCCTGTATGGAAATAGCTCAGGACATCCTTTCACCCTAACAATTCCCCCCTTTCACTTTTTGCCACCATTTCCATGGTGCTGAAGATCAAATGTATGGATGCTGGGGTACAGTCTCAGATGAAATCTTATGCTGTGACACTGGTTACTTTATCCTTGTTTCAGATGGTCATGACAAATATTGTACAATGTGACATATCTTGAAACAAAGAGGAAGTCACTTCATGACAGGTAGACAGTGGGGCCCATTCTTCCTTTTGTAATGTATCAGAATTTAGGAGTGTCCAACAATAGAATTTTATAGATTCTATTACCAGTTTTAAATAAGCCAACTCTTAAAAAAAATAGACTGAGTAATATAAACTACTCAAGAGAACCTATATTGGATATATTAATAATGTAAACTCAAATAAACAACAATAGGTGAATACATATATTTTGAGAAAGAGAATCCCAAAATGTGTTTACTGATGGGATTCTCAATCAGAGCCTGAGTAACAAATACATTGAAAAAAACAAAACAAAACAAAAACAAAAGGTAGGGCCTCCCTGGTGGCGCAGCGGTTGAGCGCTGGGTTGTGAAGCTGCCCGCAGCCTCTGCAGCACCGGTTTGATCCCCGGCTGCTCCCCGGCCACCAGAGGAGGGTCCCACATGGCGCGCAGACCTCTCCTGCCGCCCGCTGCTCCCCTCAGCAGTGTGCTTTGGTCCCTCTGCCTGCTCTGCTCCCTGCTCTGGCTCTGGTGAATTCTCTCACCCTCCCGCACTTCTGACTGTACCCAGTGCTTGTATAAATAATTAAAAAAAAAGGTAAAAGGCTCATGCCATTGTCTACCAACAGAGAAGCTAATTTTTTTAATACTCAAAGATTTATTTGGCCTATTAATTCAGAACTTTTTGAACTGATTTTATTAGCATTTAATTTAAATCCTAAATTGTTTTTATATAAAATAAAATCTGACTCAACTAACTCTGATTTGTATGGTGTACAATTTCTCTTTTTCTTCCTAGGCCTTCCTGTGTATATAAATGTGGATAATTCAGGAACAGTAACCTAAGCAAAATAATCTTAGGTCCCTTAGAATACTGGGCCTGACTCCACAGTATTTTTAACAACACAACAGAAGCCATAAATAGTGAAACTTTGCTACTGCATTTGTTTCTCACTATTCTTACTATGATTCATCTATATATACCCAAATAATCTAACTGCATGTAAAACCAAAACATATATAGTTTATACAACAGAATTATAGCCACTGAATATAGATACTTACTCTGTGTAGGAGTTCATTTAATGATCCATTTGGCATGTATTCAGTAACTATTCCCAGAAATTCAGGCTCATTGCAAATTCCCAAAATTGGAAGAATGTAACTAAATCTAGCTTTGTGTAAAATTTCAGCTTCTCTTAAGACATCATTTCTTTCACTAAAAACAGAAAATGCGAAATGTTTTAAAATAATGAAAAACACAAAATTATTATGTTCATAAAATTTATTAAGCTTGACTCATTAGATAACTTTTGATCTCATGAATTATGCAATTTCTTTATCCTTCAGTTTCATCACATATAAAGTAGGGATAAGACATACCTTATATATTCCACAGATAATTTAGAGATCAAAATAACTTCCATAACTCAATCACAGAAAAAAGTGCTACACCCAGGTTATTATTATTGTACTTTTCTAGGAAAGGGAAAGATGCAATGTCTGAGTAAGTTTATAAATCTATTGATATTAGAATAATTGGTGTGTGAACTAAGCAAACAAGTCTGTATTGTATTCAAAAGATCAGATTTGATTACAATATTACATTCAACTTTATGGTTGCATGCCATGTGAAAATTTTCCGATATGTCCTGAATATTAAAACATCTAAATTGTTAAAGGTTTAAATGACTAGATGATAATAGTTGCAAGGATATTAATGCTTAAAAATTATACACTGGAACTGAGGACAGGAACAATGAGAACAGGTAGATGCTTAAAACAGATTTGTGGGGTAACTCTAATTCCAGGTTCATTTGCTTACTCATACATAAAACAAATAAATATTAAACTTTCATTATGAGTAAACTATGCTTAGCACTATGTACAATATAAATATAAAGTAGCAGATTATGCCCTTAAACTGCCAGAAATCTTTTAAGAAAACTCACTGTGGTTTTGATTTGCATGTCTCAGATGGTTAGTGATGCTGAGCACCTTTTTATTTGTATGTCAACACTGTATTTGTTATCTTCTGGTAATTGTTCCACATTGGGTATGTATATCAAATTATTAAGTAGTACACTTAAGTTTTTCAAACTATATGATTTTTTATTGATGTAATGTAGGTTTACAACAATAATACGATTTAAGGGTATAGCCTCACACTTCTTCAGATAAATCTTAACACACCACCCACATCCACCACCAAAGTCATGTTACACATTTTAAAAATATGCAATTATATTTGTCAATTATTACTCAATTAAGTTAAAAAAATAAGGAGACCAAGTAAGAAATTAAAATTAAAATTAAAAAAAAAAAAACCAGAATGTAATAAAGGCCACCAAAAGCAAACAAGTAAGTAAGCAGAGAACTATGTGGAGCTCTGAGTAAACTTTGGGCTACCCCATAGTCTTTAGAGGTGGGATTTCAACTACACTTTAAGGATGGATAGACTCTAAATCATTAGAAAAAGGGTAACCAAGATGGATGTGACCTTCAGAGGGGAGGGACCTTGTCTTTTCATCTGTGTATCCCCAGGACCTGGAACAGTGCCTTTCACGTAGTATACCTAATAGATATGTGCCAGTTATATACAAAGAAGATAAAAGCTATGCTTAGAATATGAACCAGGGTCATACTGCAGAGGCTTAGAGTCAGGTGAAGCTGTTTACATTTTATGTAGTAATCTCTGAGTTGTGACTATAGGTTCTTAAGCAGGAATGACATGAGCAGATGATTAAGTTGGTAGCAAAATGTAGGATCAATAGAAAGACATACAGTTTGAAAGTCAGAATGTTAAGGAGGTTATAATACTAGGTAAGATGTGAAGCAGAGTCTCTAAATTATAAAGGTTGCAAATGGAAATAAAAACACAAGCTGAATAGAATGCCCAGGTGGTTAGTAATTGACTGACTAGGGTTATTAAAAAAAAAAAAAAAAAAAAAAAAAGGGAATTCAAGATGTCATCAGTTTTTGCCCTGGTTGAATGGGTGTTGGTAGCAGCAGTAAAAAAAAAAATAGAAATTGTCTCTAGGAAAAGCCTATTGGGTAAGTGATGATGAGTAACCACTCAAAGCTCTAGATGAATGACTGTTGAAAAAAAAGAAAACAACAGATATTCCAACTCAGATTATGAGATTTGTTTTTCGAAACAAAACACAAACAATAAAGCAAAAAATCTTAGTCATTTATGTTATGAATAGGTAATATACCTTGAAATTTAAAAATTACAAGAGGATATAAAGTGAAAAGCTTCCTTCTTCTCCCTATCTCTACCACTTAATACCTCAAATATCAAGTAACCAACTCTATCAGTCTGAGACCTGTTTTAATTAACTTACAGACCCTAAGTTTAAACATTTCTATATATGCATCAAGGGTTGTAGGTCAACAAGACAATTACTGTTTTGCATCCTGACAGCGAGACACAAGATGGATCTGAAGATTCCTGAAATACTCAAAGAACTATATAGAGGGAATGGTAGCAAAATTTCATATATACTTAATACACTCACTTCTAAGAGTATGAGATACTTCCTTCTGTTTTGATCCTATTTTGGCCACTTCATATGCACTATCATCCTAAATTAACCTCTACAGTTGCTTTAATTATTTCTACTTATACACAAGGGCAGTGAGGCACATATAAATTAGTAATTTTCTAATGGTCATGCCAATAATAAGTGACAGGCATAGAGTAAGGTTTGAATCACTAAGTCTATGTTCCCCTCATTCTACTGCTTCATCAGATAAGAAGGAAAGTTATTGAAGTCAGATTTTATAAAGATTGAGTAAGTGGAATAATAGACAAAGCCAAAACAGTTTAAAATGGGTTTTTGTAATTCTAAAAATAGAAATGTCAAATACAGCTTCTGCTGATATACCACCCAAATTATCCAACTTAACATTTCAGTCAAATAACAGTCATTTCCCCTACTGTGTGTCTGAACAACCAATCAGACTCATCTACTTATAAATAGTTAAAAATTGTTAGGGAAGAGCCACTTATTGGACACAAGTCAGGTTATGGAAAATGACTCACCAATCACAGGTAACAGAACATAAACTTACTTTTCTTTCATGAGATCCCAAAGAACAATGCAAACATTATTTGCACCAGAGACCAAGAAGTACATGTATATACCATCTCCCACTTTGTAAGTGAGGAAATAAGACACCCTGTGAGTCAATTACATAGCCCAGCTTTATACTCAGACTGCATAAATGCTGCGATATTAACATCTTAGGTAACAAGTGGGAGAAAAGAACCTAATGCAGTTATTCCAGAGTGTTTCACTGGTCTTATGGCTTCTTTGATGATAGAATTAGTTTTCAACTCAATTTAGTGAAGATTATGAAAACTGTTAATGAATATGGAAAGGCAACTGACCCCTCAATCCTGGGCTTCCAAATGGCACAAAATTTACTTAAATTAAAAACTTGAGAAGTGGGCTTCCCTGGGCACAGTGGTTAAAGGCAGCACTATCAAGGTGTTGCCAGCCACTGCAGCACAAGTTCGATCACTGGCCAGCCAGGGAGCAACCCACATGGCTCAGCAGACCTCTCCTGTCTCGCTCACTGCTCACCTCAGCAGTGTATTTCAGTAGATCTGCTAGTTCTGCTCCCTATTCTCTCTGGTGAAGCCCCCCCTCCCCACCCTGGCCCCAGGACCTCTGGCTTACATCCCAGTTCTTACATGCATAAATAAGTAAATCTTTAAAAAAATAAACAAAAAACCTTAGAAGCAACATCCAAAATGGGAGGATCGATTTGTTATAAAATACCTAGTAGATCTTTCAATGTTAGATTTCCATATATTTGCATAGTTGATTTTAAAAGATATCCGCCCTCTCTAATCACTACCCTTCAAACTGACTACATGCACTTATAGTCCCTTGCCTAGCACTTGCTCCACAGAATTCAAGGTCCAGGGTAAACAACACCACACCCTGTATAGCACCAGACTCGTATTATGGTATGCAAAAAGTGGAACAGTCTTTAGAGGTGTCTCAGACTTCTGTGAGATCTGGCCCATCCAAGTCTGATAGTGACACAGGCAAAAGATGAAAGTCCAGTAACATTGGTAGGGCTGATGCTGATAAATTTAACTGTATTGGACATTAGCAACCTCTGGCTAATCAAGCATCTAATAGGAGGTATTTTCACATTAGATATAAGGGGAAGAGGGGAGAATGTGCAGTCAGAGATGTTAACTAAGAACCTAATCAGGGCCTAGTTAAATCGCTATTGTAAGGAAAACAAATAGACTAAGTGACTAGACCCATTGACTAACACATACAGTCACGAGTCTCTGACATGTGGTTGAAATATTTTTCTGGAAACAGAAACTAGCCTTCCCTTAAAACTTCCACGTTATACTAAAAGTGTTTTAGGATGTGAGAGACATTCAAAATATTGGTTTTGGCTTTGCCATTTTAATAGTCTTCTAATTCAGTTTACAGTTAGCACAAATCATACATATTTCCTCTGGGGACAGGCCTTCCTGTGTGAAAGGCGCTAAACTGCCAGGGTAAATTTGACAGGGAAAGTTTCATGACTACAGGTAATAAACCACCACTGCCAACAAAACAACAAAACCCCCAACCCACAGCATCCTAGACTCTAGAGCAGTATTGTTCAATGAAAATGTAATGTGAACATTTACACAATCTAAATTTTTCTAATTTTCTAAATTTTCTAATTTTCTAGTAAAAAAAGACAAGTGAGATGAATTTTAATGTTATCTTACATTCAACCCAATCGATAAAAGATACTATAATCTTAGGTTATCAACATATAAGCGTCCATGAGGTTTTATACTTCCTCTTTTGGTACTAAGAGTGAAATCGGTATTTTACACTCACAGTTCCTTTTCAAGCGCTCCATGGCCACGTGTGGCTAAGAGTGACCCACTGGCCGGTGAGGGTAGAATCCGATTTCAAAATTACTACAAAAAACAAAACCCATGCTCGCTGTAAACGCCCGTCAATTTCAATCCCATTTCAATAGGACGTTTAGAGTTGGGCTGTGAGTGCCGGTTTCTCCCCCGTTTTACTGATCTGCCAACTGTTTACACAACTACGTAATTCAGAGATTACTTCACACCTAGATTGATTTTTTTTTTTTGGCTGGACAGTGCCGGGAAGCCCAGGAGTGCAAGAGGGAAGGAGGAGGCAGGGAAAGAACCGGGAGGAAAGCACAGGCTGCATCTCTAGAGAAGCCGGTTCTCGCCACCTGGCCAGCCCCAGGCCTCGGGCTGCCTGGAGGCGACGAGGGGTGTGCCTGAGGCCCCGTGCTCACCACCTTTGGGGCTCCGGTGGCCGCTCTCTCCGGGCCTGGCCGGCGGGGTGGGGATGCGGCTGAATTCGGGGCCCCGTCGCGGAGCGGGGGCGACCTACCTGTCGAGCAGCGGCGTGTGGATGTGCAGGTGCTTCACCGCCACCTGGACGCGCCAGTCTGCGTGGCGGGCCGACGACACGGTGCCGGACGCGCCGCGGCTCAGGTAGCGCAGGTCGGCGAGCTTGTGGTAGGGGATGGTGGGCAGGGCGCTGCAGATGGCCTCCCCGTTCATGGTCGCGCGCGCTCCGGGCGCTCAGGCGCCGGCCGGTTCCGGGTGTGCCCGGCTCTCCCTCGGCTCCCGCGCCCCCTCGGCCGCCCGGGTCCGCCCCCGCGCGGTCGGCCCGGCCGAGTCCTCCTGACTGCCCGACACTAGGTCACGCGGTCGCCCATGCCCCGCGCGGCCCACGCCGGCCGCGGCTGTTCCGGAGCGGGAGCGGGAGCGGGAGCGGGAGCGGACTCTGCTCTGAGAACCCGGTCAAGGCTGAGGCGGCGCGACGCGTCGAGGAGGAGCTTCCTCTCCCGGCCCCGGCGCGCCACGCCACTGAGCCCGGGCGGCCGAGATCCTCCCACCCCAGACTTCCCAGGCGACGTCAGAGGGGAGAGGGGCGGGGGATCGCGACTCCCGGGGCGGGTTCCCGCCTCAGCCCGAGGCCCCGGGTCTCCGCGGGCTGCTGCGTGGCGCGACCCAGGCGGTCTGTGTGGCACGTGCGGCGCCCGGGCCAGGGGCGGGGCCAAGGGGCACGTTGCTTGTCTGCTTTCCACCTCATCCCCCAAGTTTGTAAAAGATTTTGGGGGTGGGGTGGGGGTGGGGGGAATTTTACTCTCAGCCTGCTGGCCGTTATCCGCCTGTCAGCGGGCCTCACTTCCGGGCGAGGTCTCTGGGCCACCTGTCCTGCCGCCGCGCGGAATCCCGCATGGGCGTGGGGGGCGGGGGGGCGGGGCGCTTTTGAGCGTCGCTCCGCGCCTGCGCGGGGAGGGCTTCGCGGGAGCGAGGTGACTTAGGATTGCTCCACACTCCCGGAACCCAGCAAGTCTGGTAGGGTGGACTCTTGGACTTACCTGGACTCAGAGCTTCCCTCCCTTCCCACCACTTCAGACGTGAAGGGTGAGTGGTAAGCCCTGTCAGCGTTCCCAATCCTGGGCACACAGGTGTTTCATTCCTGTTAAACACTGGTCCTCTGGGTGTCTCCTTTCTTGCCTACTTTTTCTGTTTTAAGCGCATAGTTAGAGCCACAAATTGAAAACTATTCTTGAAAAATCCACTTCTCTGACTTCAGGGAAGATCGCAAGTGTCTCAGTGTTCAGTGCCAAACAGAAAAGGACTGCAAACGTTTCCCCCTCGTTTTGCTTTAAACAAGTATCATTCACCTTTTGGTGACTTTTGTAGAATGTGAATTGAAAATATATACAACGCCAAGTCTATACTACGCATTTAATAAATTCTAAGACAACTGCAAAAAGGAACACTTAATCCTGGTGGAGGATTTCTTCCTGCTGAGAACCAAATGCTTCCTGTGTTTTTATATTGCTTGACGTTGAGAGTAACAGTGGCATTTTACAATAGTGGACAGTTGTAATGAAATAATGTGTACAAAATTTTTGATCATTTGAAATAAATTGTTTTGCTTTCAAGATGTGGTGTGATACTCTGTGCTTTATTGCTTAATATGCTTTTTGCAACAGAGTGCTCAGAAAACATTTAACCTTTAATTCATCAGGTCAGTTAAACTAAGAGTTCCAGAAAAAGAGAACAAAAAGTGATCAGGGAGGAAATGATCCAAAAAATAAAGAAATTTTGCCAAGACCAAAGGAGAAATATCTTCATGTGGAAAAGGTCCACCAAGTACCAGTGAGTGAAAACAACAAAAAATATATTAAGTGCATCATTAAAAGGGTCAGAAGTGGGCCTCCCCTGGTGACCCAGCGGTTGAGCACTGGGCTACGAAGCTGCCCTCAGCCTCTGCAGTGCCGGTTCTATCCCCGGCTGCCTGCAAGGTTCCCACAAGGCGTGCAGACCTCTCCTGCCGCGCCCGCTTCTCCCCTCAGCAGTGTGTTTCATCGGTCTGCCTGTTCTGTTCCCCGCTCTGGTGAATTCTCTCCACCGCCCGCGCTTCTGACAACCCAGTGCTTGTATAAATAAATAAACAAATAAATAAATAAATAAATCTTTAAGGAAAAAAAAAAAAAAGGGTCAGAAGACTAAGAATAAAGACTGGAAAAGTTTTCCGGGGGAAGAAACAAAAAGTGATGGAAATTAGCATGGCATTGGATTTATCACCATAACATTTTTAAGGTAAAACACAATGAAATAGATTATCTTCAAAGGATAATCTATTTGATAGATTATAATTTGATAGATAATAGATTATCTTCAAAGGATAATCTATTGTCTGAAGGACAGTAACTTCCGATCTAAAATTTCAGACAAACCAACTGGGATAAAAGGGCAGAGGAAGAGCGGAATTAAAATATTTTCACATATGGGAGGATGGAAATATTCACTAGAGGATGTACTCCAACAAAGCATGGGAGTAAGTCAAGAAAGAAAGAAAGAAAACATAATCAGGAGTAAGTGAAGAGAAATCCTGAGATGTAAGAGATGACAGACTTAGAAAGTAACCCATTTTCACTGAAACAGGATGATGGCCAACTCTAAGAATAAGGACACTGGTTAAATTAATTGAATTATACTTATTCATTAATTCAACAGTGAGTAATTGAATACCTACAATAGGCCAGGCATTGTTCTGGAATAAAAAGATTAGTTAACATGGTTCCTGCCCTCAAGGACTTGACTAACCTAATTAGAAACATGGATGTAGACAGTAAGAATTATAGCATAGTGTATTAGATGCAAATTAAGTTCAAAACATTATTCACAAAAAGAGGAATTCATAGCTCATCTAACTTGAAATATCTGGGAAATTAGATTAATAGATATTTAATAGATCAAATGAAATACGTATTAAAGTTGGAAAAAGAAGCTAAAAGTGCTAAGAAAGTGAAAAAGAAGCAGTTATTAATTCCACAAAAAATAAAATTACAGAGGAGAGGAAACAGCGTTTCTCCAAATTGTTCTGTGGTGATGAAAAGTATAAAGCTTTTACACTTACCTGTCAGGGGAGACATGAAGATCATGAAAGTGGGTTTTTCAGGTAAGGCTTATTTATCCATTGCATGCTGGATGTGCTAGCCCCTGAGATTTCCCCAAATGTGGGAAATGTGATTGTGTAATTTGTGGTAGTGGGGACTGGTATTTTGTGCTTTCCTCTGATAGAGAGAGAGAGAGAGAGAGAGAGAGAGAGAGAACTTAAGAATTGCAGAGCTTTAGAATTCCTAGTATATTGTAAATCTCTACAAAGAAGAGTGTGCAACATAGAATTCTATGAAATTTGTTTTTAATTACATTACCTTTGAATTTACTTTATAAAAAATAAGTAATACATTCACGTGGTTCAAAATTTAAAAGCATAGACTAGCAATCCAAAGAAAATTGGGCAAGGACACCTCATAAAAGGGGATATGTGAATAGCACAGATGAGAAGAAGTTCAACATCATCGTTCATTAGGGAACTACATTAAAATCATAGTGTGACGCTACTACAAAAATATTAAAATGACTAAAGCTAAAAAGACAATATACTAAGTGTGGGTGAGGATTTATAGCGATTGGAACTCTCATGCATTGCTGGTGGGAGTGTCAACTGGTGTAAAATTGTGTGGCAGTATCTGTTAAAATTTAGGATACGCTGATCCTATAACTCAGCAATTCCTTCCTACTATGTAAATATGGACATGTGCATGACTATAATAAAATGTTCATAGCATTACTACTTATAATGGCCTCAAACTGGTCATTGCCCAAATACCCTTCAGTAGTAGAATGGGTAAGTATATCATGCCTCTTTTACAGAGTGGAATACTAAACAGAGGAGAGATTGAACATTGTACAATATTAACAAATCACACAAATTGAATATTGGATTAAAAAAACACAGGAGACTATATATTCTATGAGCTCATTTCTATTACTATAAAAATAAGCAAAACGAATCTCTTCTTTAATCAGAATGGTGACGACTTTTGTAGGAGGGAGGCAGTAACTAGAACACTGGACTTCTGGCATAATACTAGTCTGTTTCTTGATCAAGGACCTAGATTCTAGGTGCCACTACATGAGTGTGCTCAGCTTTTTTGTTTTCCAGCCTAAAAGCACCTCATAAGTTTTTAAAACACAAGTACTAAAGAAGTCTCTATAATAATAATGTTCTACTTGTGAAAACTAGTGTATGGGGGTATGCTTGGTACCTTTTCCCCACAAAACAATCTCAAAAAATACTTGCTATATCTGATGAAATACGGTGTGTGTTCTGTACAAAAAGTGTACATTTTAAAATTGGCAAAATAACGCTTTTTCTGAAAATTAAGCTAAATTAAGCAAAATTCTCGTCAATTGGACAAAAGCAATCATTTCTCATAATAGAACTACAGGTAAAGATAATGTTAAGATCAACCTTTTAATTCAGTATAGCGTAATTACATTTTTTCTCAACCATTTTCAAACCATTTGCATCTTTGTTATTTAGCATTCAGAAAATGAGGAAATTCTTTAAAAATATTCCTATGAAGGTTATATTAACATGTTTTTCTATGAAAGTACTAAAAAGCAGAACAAAAGAAGGACTCCAAGGTAGTAGTCTCCCACTTAATGCCTAAGTGAATAGCCAATGGAGAGTTGTTCCACTTCTCATTTCTGGAAATAGGAAATTCACTACATTTAGAGCCTGCTATTTCCATTAGTTACATATTCCTAGTATTAAAATTCTCCAACAATCTAAATATTAGGAAGTGCTCCTGGTCTTAGTATTACCTGTTTGTGTTATATTGAATAAGACTAATTCTTCTACCTAGACAATTTAAGCTTTGACATTCATTCAACAAGCAAAGTGGCATTCATGCCACTTTTTAAGGTCTCATGAAGGACTTAAAATTTGAGTATTTTGAAGACAGATGTAGTGGCAGGATGGGCCAGAGCAGGATCTTTATGATTCAGGAGATGGGGTAAAGGAGAGTCCTAGGAACCCTCGGTGGCTTTTGCAGGCTTTTATTGGGATTTACCAGGTACATGGCAGGCAGGGGTCCCAGCAAGTCTTCTCTCTCTCTGGGCTCACCGACGTTCTCTCTTGGCCTTTGCTTCTCTGCTCCTTTTGTTCTTTTCACTCTACTTGAAGTTATGCTGTTCCCGTGGTTCTGCTGGCGTCCCCGTGACACTGCCCTTGTAAGCCCAGTCTCAGCCCAGGTGAGTCCCATCTACATATGAGCATTCACACCCTACTCCAGTGCCCGCCATCAGGCATGCATTCAGGACCACAGGGTTCTGTCATCAATCCTAATGGTGGGAGGGCAGAAAAGCCTGATACTTTTTTTTACCTTACCCTACAGCAGATATGTCTAGGCTTAGCATCTTCATTTACTTTAGACTCACAGTGATTTTCCTATGAATCCAATTTATCCATTCAGTATAGTGCTACGTCCAAGACTCCATATGAAATTTGATAGAGGAGAGGGACATTGGCTATGTTTGTCTTTTGATTTGCATCTACTTGTGCAATGGAAGACGGCACTCACTTCTTTAAGCAGTGTTGTTTAAATGTTAATTTAGGTTGGTCAACTGAAACTAGAGAATTTTATCTTTAGTTTGTTTCTCTTTGTTTTTAAGATAAAATTCCTTTAAGTCTCCTGTATTTGTGCAGTTGATTCTTGTAGACCCAGTGTTGTGGGTTAATTGTGTATCCCCAAAAGGATGTTAACTCCTAACTCCCAGTATCTGTGACTGTGGCCATTTGGAAAAAGGCTTGACAGTTGATCAATTTAAGGTGAGATCATTAGGCTGGCCCTTAACCCAGTAGAATGGTCCCTAATCCAGCATCTTCAGAAGCAGGGGAAATGTTCTTAAAGGAAAGATATGTTGAACACATGGGAGAAAGACATCTACAAGCCTGTGACTATTGGTAGATGAAAGGAAATCAGCCCTTAGAAAGAACCAACTCTATTAACATCTTCACTTTGAATTTCACCCTCAAGAACTGAGTAAATTAATTTCTGTTGTAGCTTAAGCTACCAGATTTGCGGTTCTTTGTTATAGCAGCCTCAGGAAACTAATACTTCCAGGTACAATTCTTAAAACTATGTGAAGATAATAAAAGATACTGAAGTAACAGAAAAAGTTGCAAAGATAATGTAGAGTGGTCCCACATATTCCTCACCCAGTTTGCACCAGTAGTTACTTTTATCAGGTTTTGACGGGAGGGTCCTCTGTTCTTAATTGTGGCCATGAAAGAATTCATGTCTAGACAAAGCAAAGCAAAGTTTATTCTGTGACATTACACGTAGGAAGGAGTCCAGGTGGGCAGAGTCCATGGAAGAACAACGATGCTGAGTGGTGAGGGATTCCTGTGGTTTTTTTTTTTTTTTTAAGATTTTATTTTATTTTATTTATACAAGAGCCAGGGTACAGGCCAGATTTGCGGGAGGGTGAGAGGATTCACCAGAGACAGCGGGGAACAGAACAGGCAGACTGACAAAACACATTACTGAGGGGAGAAGTGGGCAAGACAGGAGAGGTCTGCTGCGCCATGTGGGACCCTCACCAGGTGGCCGGGATCGAACTGGCATTACAGAGGCTGCAGACAGCTTCACAGTGCTACGCACAACCGCCTGCGCCACCAGGGGAGGCCCGGGATTCCTGGTTTAAATAGGACATAGGGGGCAGCTCACTCTGTCTCTTTCTGAGATTTACTGTGCAGGTGGCCCCAGAGTGTTTGCTTATGATCTGGTAGGAATTTCTAAATTCTCTCTTCTAGTAAACTCCCGAAGTATAGTTTTATCAGCCCCAGCAGCAGGTTGGGACAGGCTCTGCCTTCCCCTTTTTAGGTGTTTCTTGCTCTCCCTAGGCTTTATGGGCCCAGCAAATGTTTCCTGTGATTCTGGATATGTTGGCAGTTAATTTTCTTCAGGGCCCTAAACTGCTGAATACTTACAAATTATATAATTATAATACAATATCAAACCCCATAACTTGCACTTATTCAATGTGGGTACATTGCTTTGTGTCATTTTATCACTTGCATACTTTCCTATAGAACCATCTCAGTCAAGATACAGAACTATTCTATCACTACAAAGATCTCCCTCATACTACATACAGTCACACTCAACCTGCTACCCTTCACCATCCCTAATCCTTGGCAACCACTCATCTGTTTTCTATTTCTTTAAATTTGTCATTTCAGGATTATGTCAATGAAATTGCATGATATTTTGAGAGTGCTTTTTTTACTTAGTATAATGCTCTTGAGATCCATCTGGAAAATTGTTTCCTGTATTAATAGTTTTTTTTTTTTTTCTCTTGCTGAAGTATTCCATGGTACGGGTACTCCAGAGTTGCTTAACTATTTACCCATTGAGGGACATGTTAGTTGTTTCCAGGTTTTACTTATAACAAATAAAGGTGCCATGAACAATTAATTGTATATAGGTGGTTGTGTGAAAATACATTTTCATTTCTCTCTGAGATAAATGCCCAGGAATATAATTGCTGCACCATATGGGTATATTTAGTTTTTTATTTAGTTTCTTTTTTAAAGAAACTGCTTTTCTGTTTTCCCTAGTGACTATGCCATTTTACATTCACACTAACAATATGTGAGATTCCATTTCTCTGCATCTTCATCAGTATTTAGTATGTCACTATTTTTTAAATTTTAGCCATCTATTAAATGTGTAATACTACCTCATAAGAATCACATTTAATCTCTTCATTTAATGATATTAAGGTTTTTCAAATCTATGCAAATCCATTCTTATAATGTAGTTTTTTAAATCTGTATTTTGTTATGTTGGCTGACTTTTTTGGGAAGCTTTATGGAGTAATATATACCTGACTTTGGTTTTCTGCTTCATCATATATGAATTGTGTAAGTTTTGGCAGCCTGCTTACTTTTTCTAGCCTTGTTTTCTCCCTCTGTTAAGTTATTGTGTGATGAAATAAAATAATGTGTGTTAAGTAATTAGTTTATGCATACCCTCAGTACATGCTACTTTCTTTACCCTGTTCAACTCAACAGAAATATGAACAGCATGAAACAAATTCAGAATGTAGAGACATTTCGTAGTTAGTTGACCATGTAAGTTGGAATCTTGAAAATATTTTCACTAAGGCTGTTAAACTTCAGGAAAATATTCTTTTATCTTTTAGGTTATACTCCAGGCA